GGAGAGAGGAGAGAGGAGAGAGGAGAGAGGAGAGAGGAGAGAGAGAGGAACGAGGAGTGAGATTAGTAGGAAAGCCCGACTCAACGAAAAAAAAAACGCCTTCAATTGAGAATGATACTGTGCAACACAGGGAAGCTCGAATAGTTGTATCATTCCATTATTTACGATATTCCGATGGTTAAAGTTTGAATTCACTTAGGAGGAGAAAGGGAGGGGGAAGAAACGGGGTAGAGAGGGGGGAGAGGGAGGGAGGGAGACATAGAGAGAAGAGAGGGAAGACTGGAGAAATAAAATAGGTAAGAGGATGGAAACCCTGCGCGCGTATGGTATACTTTTGTTAACTTCGAATCAGACGAAATGACACGACGGGGATTCTACCAGTTTTTGCGTGAAACTTCATAATAATGCAGCGCCTAATTTAATTTAATCTGGTTAAAGTTTCACGTGAAAATTTTACTCGGTGCATCCCTTACGGCGGCAGTGAGTTGAGACAACAATTAGGCAACTGAACATAGTTGTAAACATCGTTTGCGTACATCTTTCATTGCCATGAGCATTTCAATGGTAACTGCTGACTAAACTGGGCGCGAGAATATCCTTGGTTTTTAGACGAGTGAATGCGATTATTGGAGGCAATATATGACAAAATGACCGAATTTGTTGAAATATATGTATTTAAATGGGAAATGCCGCCTGATGACGTCACAAGGCGGGAAATATTTTCACTTTTAAATCTACTCATCGACAATTTACCGTTTCGGAAAAAATTATAAAAAAAAACCGCAAGCTCGGCGCATTAAAATCTGCCAGATAAAGCGATAAAATTTACTGCGTAAATTCTCGAGGGATTCCAACCTAGTGATTTAAAATTGGATACGCAAGCCAATAAGCCACCCTAGCTGGCGAGAGGGAGTTGATTTTCCAAAAAATTTGGCAAGGATCGATGCGCGATTGAAACGCGCGAACGATTTGAGCCTCGGGCGATTAATCTTTTATTCCCGTCAGAGAAGGCGCGAAGGCACTTTATTTGGGCAACTCTTTGCCGGAGTATTAAACTTTTCGAAGAAGGCTGACTCAAGGTGTGACGTCTCGACAGTCCAGAATTCGACTCTAGCGTGCCCGTGTCACCGCAACCCTTTCCTCCCAATTCTGCGTCGATGTTGCCAAATTTCAGGATAACATTTTCACAGTGCACGGAAAATTATACGTAAAATAATGGTAATTTCAGGCACAATCTGGCGACAGCGATCGGTGTCGAGTTCGGGAAAGAATAAATCACGACGACAGCCGTTTTTGACGGCGCGGAACTTAGTCAGTGAACCGAAACGGGTGGAACGGTATTTTGCTCTGCACTGCTGAGCGAAGGAAAAACACCGTATGATTAATCAAATGTTGCCAAATTTCTTCCCGGAAAAAATTAATTTGATAGAAAAGCTTTGAATATAATTCCTTGAAATTTTCAGACACTTCAGATCAAATTACGAACAAAATTCTCTAAAAAATCGGAGGAAAAATATGTACGCAATTTCCCGAAAATTCGTGATTTGTCAAGGAAAATTTGGCAACGTCTGACGGTTTTCGCGGCCTTTTCCCTTAGCACGGCAGAACAGCAAATGACTCGAGTTATATTCGGATAACCTCAAATCAGGTTCTGACCAAGCTGTGGGTGAAGAGTTTGTCACTCGCAGACAAATACAGATCTCCAGAGACAAGTAGAGACGCTACACTAGCATCTCAGCGATTCTGGGAACTTTGACGATCGGAGTTTCAACATATCGACAAGTGCCGAGGCGGGAATGATCGATTTTCGGTATTTCCCCATTTGAGGCTGTGGTAAAGAATCGATTTATTGAGGTGTCCGCTGCGAACACCCTGTTTATCGATCCTTTTCCATAGGTTTAAATTACAGATCGACCGATATATCGCAAAGCACGCCACGCCACTGATATCGACGACTTAGGTCGAGAAATGAGTATCTTCCACTGAAACTTAGCAAATTCCCGTTAATGTTTTATTTTTATCGGCAGCTTTTCTTTGAATATTTTCGAATGAAAGCAGAAAACTCACGGAGAATCAAGTGTACATGTAGGCATTTGGATTAGCTGCCTTAGTGGACCAAAAAAATAACACAATATAACATACACCAAGCCTGTTAAATACAAAATAGGTGAATGACGACTAAAACGGTGCAGCAACTTATTGAACTCCTGAGAAGGTGAAAGTGCATAAACATATAATTGAAGGCGACTTGCGGGTTCCGTTTTCTCAATTATTTTTCTCTCACTTTTTTACTCAATGCCACCTTTGTGATTATACTTATTTGCTACTTTTCAGCTGTATCCGCTCACTTGACTGACAGAATGAAGAAATTTTTAGCGTTGCAATGAGCTTTAGTTTTTTATAATTTATCCGATGCTTTTGCCAGGATTCGTCGAAGAAGAGTAAAAGCTCGTTGAATTTTCTGCGAGTCCCGACAAATGAAGCAAAGCATTGAAAAAGGGTTCCGAGAGATTTACAAAAATCTTCGAGTCAAATTTGGTTGGAGACGTCCCAATTTAAATGGACCGCATTTAGCAGAGAGGAACCAAGCCAAATCAGCTACTGCCAAATTTAATTGGGAAATTTAATACTTTTACATAAAATGGTTGTGCGGCTTTTGTGCAAATTTCAGTGAATTTTCAGCACAGTGCAAGGCAAATTCCACAAAATTCCTAAAGGAATGCGCACAAACGTTCTCTCGTAATAAAGTAAATTGCCCCGTTACATCTGGCAATACCTGATGTGGCTTAGTTTCTTTCTGCTAAACGCGGTCTGGATTGCTGTCGCATCATTGTGTAGAGAACCATTTTTAATGATAGCATGGTAATTGATTTAAAAATCGAGCTACAAGTCAAAATAAACACGTAATATTTCAAACTACATGTAGATGAGAAATGAGATAAAACTAGCGAGAAACAAAGCAAACGTTCTTATAAGTTTTATATTATTCCTCATCTACATGTAGTGAAATATTACTTGTTTATTTTGGCTTGTAGCTCGATTTTTTAATCAATTACCATGTTCTGCCCAAATTAGCCAGCCAAATTCGGTAATAAAATGTATTTAAATGGGTAACATGGAATAAGGACTCACCTGCGCTTTGCTTGGGTGTGGGCCGCCTTGGAATTCAATGGTCCCATAGGCGTCGGTCGGGGACGCCATCGTGTGCTTGGAGGGGCTCCATATTTCGTCCCCCGCTTTCTCCGCTTGCGCAACCGAAGAGCTGTGATAAGCCAACGATTGCCCGCAGCAACATCTGCAACAAAAATCACCACCATTAAGTTTCAGATCTCACTCGGTTACATTTCTATACTTCACCGGCCCCTGAGTCAAATTTAGAAAACTATGACTCATTTAAAGCTCATTTTAAAGCTGAAGTATGAACGATAAAATAAGTTTTCAAGTTCCGTTCCATAAATCTAAAATATTCGCGGGGGAAAAAAATAGTGAAACTTGCGCATTGAAAGATCCTGGTATAATGCGGGTGAGTTGCTTCTAGTCAAAACGTCCAATTTACAGGGTACACTGGAAAAAAAAGAAGAAAAAGAAAAAGAAAAAAAACACATTGGATCTAGAGTCCAGACTCTTGAAAACATTGAAAAGAAAAACGACTCTTGATTCAAGCAGATTTAAGCTTAAATCAAAAGGAAATCCGCTCGAATTAAGAGCCTTGGTTCTTGATTTAAGCTTAAATCTGATTGAATCAAGAGTATTTTTTCTTGTCGATGTTTTTAAGAGTCTGGACTCTAGATCCAATGTGTTTTGTTTTCCAGTGTATCTATTAAAATACGCTGGCTAAAAATCAGTACTTTAACGGTGCTATTTCAGTACATTCCCAAGAAATCCAATACCTCCTCGACTGAAAATTACGGTACTTTTTCAGCACCTCCAATTGATAAAATTCGAAAAACTTCAAAAATTTGAATTTCTCGCTTGAATTGCGACAAAAATGACAAAAATTTCCGGACCTTCTTGCAGAATTCCCGCACTTTCTCAATACTTCCGGACCGCCCTTAAAAAATCCGTACTATTTCCAGACCGGAAATTCCGGACTTTTAGACACTTTGCATTTACGATGAAACTCTCTACAGCCTTGTGTTTTAGCTTATAATTGTTGAAGAAAAGGATTTGAGGAGGACATCGCGGAATTAAGCCACTTTAGATAGTCAAGTAGACGGACAACAGTATAACTGTAGCTCGGCTTAAGAATTGGGTCAAGCGGAATACACTTATAATCATGCCTGCTAATTTTGCCCGGAAATTCCAGAATAACTCGCGATTCGAAACCTCCCGGAGGCCAAGCTGTTCGTCCGAACACTCCACCGGTATTTGCACGCTGGCGATTCTATTTGATCGTATTCCCGACGGAACTTGGTTGAAGAGGCTGATCCGTAGCCCTTCGCGGGGCAAAAGTTCAAGATTAATAGAAGGCAAATAAACGTAAACTTAAAGGCTGACTGATTACTCCTTCTCTCCTGAGCTCGCGCTAACAAAAGAGGTTTTAGAGAACTTCGACAAATTAGAATACAACCCACTTTTTCTTCCTTTCTTCCAGTTCTCTGTCCTGAATGCAACTTCAGTCTTATTCCTTTCTCCGATTACGAAATGCCGTGAGCCATGGGAACGGGAGCTTTCCTTGGCTTTTTCCTTTCTTAGACTGATTAAACTTGATCCTAGAGGCGTGTATTGCCTCTCCGTGAACATGCTGCTCGAACTTGGACCACGTCAAGCAAAAAGGAACCAAGCCACATAAGCTATTGCCGAATGTAATGGGACAATTTAATTTGTTACATGAAAGTGGTTGTGCGGATTTTTTGGTGCAGATTTCAGTGAATTTTCTGCGTAGTACGAAGCAAAATCCTTAGATTTTTTTTTAAAAAAATCCGCACCAATGTTGTCTTGTAAAAAATTAAACTGCTTGGTTTTTGACGACGGCTGCTGTGGCTTGGTTCCTTTCTGCCAAACGCGGCCCACTTAGGATGCAACGTGAATGTCCTCATTCAAAATTGAGAAAACTTGGAGGTTTCCTAAAATTGAAAACTTTGGCGGTAATTTTGATTCTAAGTGTAGAAAAAAGAAATTTCTAAATTTCTTATTATTGGAGATTCTCTTTTCAGTATGTTTATTGCCCCCGGTGTAAAATTTTAAGCAGGGCTTTCGCACCATATCACCCTTACTATTTCTCACTCTTTCTCATCGTTCATTATGTTATAATGCCTATTTTAGGCCCTCTCCTAGTGATGCAAAAAGCTCCAAAACGCCTATCTCTTGTCGCTCGAGATACGTCGTTTTCACCCCACAACAAAGTTTTCGATTAGTTTCACGGAAAGTGTCCGCGTTGCTCCTGTAAAATTTGGCAACAGACCCATACGAGGTCAACACTATGCAGGCACTCAGACATTTCTGCGAACAGAAAATAACATAACCCATTAAGTTTGTTGTGATCGCGTGATATTTGTTTCTCTCTCTAAAATTCCCAGCTCATACTTCACTGCTTAAATATTTTTAAAAAAATAATAATAGGGGAAAAAATTATTACTTGTTGTATTAGACAGACATTACGAGAGTACAATAAGATTGAAAGTCATTGTTTTTCTTTTTTCTTCGTGAGAATATCAATATCAGCATCTCAAAACTTGATGCAGAGTTCACGAGTTGAAAAATGTTTAAACCTTGGATGTTGGCTCACGTAAATCATTGTAAGAGACCGAGAAAGTTGGACATTTTTGTCATTTCGGTCGTAGCAAATCTGGGAAAGTTCAACATTTTCCTCTTAAGCTTTTTGAACGCAAAGCACCTATAAATAAACGAATGAAGTAACAAAAACAACGACGACGACATATTTTCTTTCTCTTCATCGGAGGAGAATAGATTTGTCTTATTTTGCTCGATTGGTTCTCTCGGCATCCCGCCCAATCGGTGTCTGAAGCGAAGCGGAGTTAGGTTAGCGCCTTGATGCAACTATTCGAGCTCAGTGGCTGTCCGTGTTGCATACCTACGAAATTGAAGGCAATCTTACCCGCGTAGATTATTCCGTGTGCTTGTTGCTGGACAACGTCGTACAGTAAATCGAGTCAATGTCAGATGTTGGACACGATGTAAAAACTTTAAAAACGTATTTCTTCATGAATAAGAAATGTTGACGTTTTCGGAGTAGTTTCATAGGTTTCCTCGTAAAATTTTCTGTAAAAATAACCCCTTGAAATTAAAATTGTGACGAGATAAACGAGAAAGTTTACAATTTTTGTCACAAATTCTTTACAATGGACCACTAGACAAGAAACGAATTTGAGCAATTTGATACATGTTTCTTAACCAGAATTTCACGTAGAACACGATTCGCAAAACGAAAATTACTGAAACCAACTCCTAACGAAGATATTAACGCTTTTATTTCACATCGGTTACGAGAAATTTGAACTGCCCGCTCACAAAAAACTCAAAGCTCTACGCGAGTCGAATCGTGCACTACAACGGTTTCAGCAAGCTCCTCAATCGAGCAATGTTCATTTCCCACCATGTGTTGTTCACACTTTAAGCAATTTGCTATAGCTGAGCCAAAGCGTCTAAATTGAGGTTGCCAGATTTTTAAATCGCAGATACCCTCATGATAACGTTTAGCGCGCGATGTGAATCACGTAGAGCATTGAGTTTTCATGAGCGGGTGGTTTGAATTTACGCATCAAGAATCATTAAATATCTTCGTAAGGAGTTGATATCATATCACAATTGTCATGCGAAGTTTCAAAATGTCCGCCGCCATTCTATTTTTTTTATAGAGAAATTGTTCACCAAAGCCGCTCGAAAATTGCACTGAATTTTCTTTGTGCCGCCGATAGAATTCAGTGAAATTTCCTAACAAATTCAACCAACAATTTTTTTGTAAAAAATAAAGTGGCGGCGGAAATTTTGAAACGTCGCATGGCGCTTGTGATACTTTGGCCGGAAGGTGACGATTTGAAATGAGGCTCAAGTACGAGTAGATAGCTTAGTTCTGAGCCTGTTGCTGCTATCCTCTTGTTGCTCGGATCTTGCTCGGACCCTAATTGAGCCCCCGGATGGGAATTTGGGCTACGGTATTCAGCTCCGTTCGCTTCGGTCGAAACCCCGGGGGATTTCATTCTACCCGGTTCATGCCGTAGCGGAGTTCGCGCCTGCCCTCTGGTTCCCTTATTCAATTACAGAATTACGAGAACTTGATTTCGCACCGTGGGCAAAATTCAATACTCGGTGGCCGAAAATCTGGGATGATTTAACAGGCGCACAGTGGATCGAGTCAATCAGTGAGTCGGACATGAAATGTTTTGCTAGAACTGCAAATGTTGATGTTTAATTTTTGTCACGATGGACCACTAGACAAAGAACGGATTTCAGCGTTATGATACATGATTCTTAACCAAAATTTCACGTAGAACACGAAGCGCACAACGAAAATTACCGCAGAGTCTCTTTATACCTAGAGTTACGACATCTCGATTATCAGCTGGTCTGGGCTGGCCATGATGTCACAAAAGTGTGCACCTGAACGATATTGAGGGATGAGGATAAGGAATCCTGCGATGTCTGACATCCAAAAACACACAATCAACAAAACTTATCAAAACCTAACCAAAGAAATGGCAATAAAATATTGCTTTGTGGATAATTTCTTAATCTGTTCTCATTTTGGTGCGATGAAAATAACAATTCACTCTTGATAAATCACAATTCGGATATACATTTTCATTATTTTTGTTCACATTCGGGCCACCGCCATTTTGGTGCACTCTTTCGTGACTCCATGAGCGAGAACCAATCAGAATTGGATTTTTTTTGGGCCACATTCAGCCCAACCAAGCCCGACTAGAATAGAGAAGTCGTAACTCTGGGTATGAAGGGACTTTAATTGTTACAAAAGGAGGCACAGTATAGTTAAAACGGCAAAATGAAGACAATTTCCGTGGATTTCAGCTCAACGTGGCAACGAGGGCGAGAGATTTCTTGATGGCAAAAAGAACACGAGAGCGGCCACTTGTTTCTTCATTATAATCAAGCACTCTCAGCATGGATTATACGGGGGCTCGGGCCAAAGAAGTATCAGATCAAGCTCCATAAGCTCCAACCCTCCGGCAGAGGATTATCCATTACACATTTTCCACCGTTGCCAAATCGGAGACGAATATAAACGACATCCACAAGCGTATACCTCGTACCTGCTCTTCTAAGTAATGCGTAATTTATAAATGGATTGCATTTTGCAAAAAGGAACCACTAGCA